CAGGAGATCTCGCGACACGTGAACCGTGGAAGCGGGGGCGTGGCCACCCTTTTCCAGCGGGGAAAGAAACTCCGCCAGCGTTAGGTCCTTTAGCGCCAGGTGCGCTAAGGACATTGTGAAGGACAGACCTGCTGCGGAGCGGACCCCCAAATTAAATGCAGGGTAATTAAAATAACCCAAAAAGGCATCCTTTGGTTAAAATTTTTCTCCCCCATTATTTATATGTTTTTTTTTTTTTTACAATACAGAAGTACCTTTATTTTTAATAATTTAACCTCATTCCCGTAATCCCCTTTTTTAGTGCACCGCACCTCCTTTTCCACCATCTCACAAAGGGACGAGGAGGTCGTGGCATAGGTGACAGGCAAATAAGCGAAAAGTGGAAAATGTGAAATTCCACAACGGAAAGCATTCAACATATTGTCGCAGGATGACCTGTGTTTGCCTCGAAGGAATATTTAAGCCGAAATAATAACATGACTAAAATTAAGGCAAGCAATATGCCCAAAATACAAATGCCACAATCTCGACGCTATGAATTACCCTATTAGCAATATAAAACACCAGCACTGGCAGAGAACTGTGAGACCAAAATATATTTGGATGCCCAAGCAATAACAGACAGGACTGTCATTCGCAACAAATCTAATATATTGATAATGGATAAGACATATAGAACGTCATATATCATAGATATTATATATTATATTACGATACCTGATGTCGAAAGCACTCAAAAAAGCCGAGCTGAAAAAATTCGGAAGTAGTTTACCTTAGTTGAACCTTAGTTTTGAACTGAAAGAAATGTTTAGACTGGATATAGTTGTGATCGTTCCAATAATAATTCTACAGGTGGTTTGCTACCTAAAGCAACACTGACAAGTATTAACGATATAAGCCTGCCGAGCAAACTTGTTATAGAGGCGCAGAAGGCACTCCTGTTGTGGACATGGCTCGCCAATATAAGAAAGTTTTTAAATATTTAAGTAGCTGTATACACGAAGAAATATAATTTCAAAACAGGGGTTGAAACAAATCAACCTTCTCAAATATTTCTCTAAATAGATGAATATATTGAAATAATAATAATAGCTCTCGAGCGATTCGGGTTCAGCCTTCCTCGTATGTATGACTCTGAGCTCTGTCTGGGCTATACGAGAGTTCTCTGGACCCTCTCGTCGTGCTCTGGTTAGAGAAATACGCCAAACTGAATCGCATTCGGAAAACGGTGGTTGTTGCCTGGGTTCCCGGATACGTCGGCCTGGAGGGTGACGAATGTGCGGCCAAGGCGGCGAAAGCTGAGACGTCCACTCTCCAGACCGGACCATCACGATCAGGCCTTCTGACGCTAAACTCGCAGTGAAAGATGGCAGCGTCAGTGGGCGGGGTCGTCCAAGAGAGGCTCTTGCGAGTCAAGGGCACGACCGGTAGCCGATGAAGTGGGATCGTCCTCACCCGATTGAGGATTGGCCATACACGGTTGACATACGGGCATCTGGTTTGGGCCAAAGCCCGCGTAGGTGCCCCTTACGCAGAGAAAGTTTGCTCGATGTTTCCCTCATAATAGAGGCGGGACATGCCTCCGCTCCGTATAGAGAGCGTGTAGGGATGCCGCCGGATTTAAGAATGGTTTTCGAACACAGCAGTCGGTTTCTTGGTCGCCTGTTGCGTTTTTTAGAAGACGTGGGGATTATTTTACGGTGTATAGTTATATTTATGTCTTTTAACATTATGTGCTTTGTTTGAATTTTATTAGTGTGAGTGGTGAGGGGAGATGGTGAAATATAGTGTCACCAACACTCCTCCAGCAGTGTTGGTGTTTAGGGTAGATGGCGGAATATTGATAAAAGTACCTCATCGATCCTAATTTAGGTTAGATTATTAATAGTGTGCATAGGTCGATAGAGGAATATCCAGTTCTACTGACTAATCTTAATGATCGGAATATATGAATGTATTTATTTGTGCACTGATTTATCCAATTTTAGTAGTGTTAGGCTAGATTACAGTTTGCATGAATTTTGGGCAGAAATGACCTAGCTGTCGATAGCCCCCTGTTCGGGCTGGTCTTAATTAAAATAAGCAAATAAACGGAGGCTTGACGAGTAAAGTAAAATAAAATAAAATGAAAGGGAGGCTTGACGAGTGAAACAAAATAAAATAAAATAAAATAAAGAAAATTTACCTTGGAGTGGACTGTATGAAATATACCTTCTGGTGCGTCGTTGGAATCACCTTCGGCGTCACCGAGCTCGGATTCAGCGTCGGAGAAACCTGTTGAAACTACCAGAAAGTGCGGAGGCGTAGCGAAGAAAAAGTAAAACATAAAATGAGAATACTCCTGCTGTATACGAGGGTAAAAAAAGAGAAAAGAAAACGAGGGTTGACTTTGAGGAGAGACAAAAATGAGGTTAGGCCAATTGGCGAGGTCCGACCAAGCGTGTTCGGCGGTTTGTAACGTACTACTAAGCGTGACGTCGACAGGGCCGACTCAACGCACCTTTAATCCCCTTCGGGTCTGATGACGAGGTGTGACACAACAAAGTTGAATAATGAAAATTTAAATACTCTTTTTATTTTTAAGAAAGAAGAAAATAAAATGTGCCCGGTGCGAACATACCGCCCACCTAAAATGAATATTTTACAAAAAAAATTTTTTTAATAAAATGAAATAAGTAAAATAAAATGAGCCACTTTGGCGAAGGGAGGTATTTANCTCTCTCTCTCTCTCTCTCTCTCTCTCTCTCTCTCTCTCTCTCTCTCTCTCTCTCTCTCTCTCTCTCTCTCTCTCTCTCTCTCTCTCTCTCTCTCTCTCTCTCTCTCTCTCTCTCTCTCTCTCTCTCTCTCTCTCTCTCTCTCTCTCTCTCTCTCTCTCTCTCTCTCTCTCTCTCTCTCTCTCTCTCTCTCTCTCTCTCTCTCTCTCTCTCTCTCTCTCTCTCTCTCTCTCTCTCTCTCTCTCTCTCTCTCTCTCTCTCTCTCTCTCTCTCTCTCTCTCTCTCTCTCTCTCTCTCTCTCTCTCTCTCTCTCTCTCTCTCTCTCTCTCTCTCTCTCTCTCTCTCTCTCTCTCTCTCTCTCTCTCTCTCTCTCTCTCTCTCTCTCTCTCTCTCTCTCTCTCTCTCTCTCTCTCTCTCTCTCTCTCTCTCTCTCTCTCTCTCTCTCTCTCTCTCTCTCTCTCTCTCTCTCTCTCTCTCTCTCTCTCTCTCTCTCTCTCTCTCTCTCTCTCTCTCTCTCTCTCTCTCTCTCTCTCTCTCTCTCTCTCTCTCTCTCTCTCTCTCTCTCTCTCTCTCTCTCTCTCTCTCTCTCTCTCTCTCTCTCTCTCGCTTTCTCGCTCTCTCGCTCTCTATCTCTCTCTCACTTACTCTCAGCTATTCTCTGTCCCTCACTCATTTTCTCTCTCACTCATTCACTCACACTATCTATCTCTTTCTCTCTCTCACTCACTCTCTCTTTTCTTTTTCTCTCTAACAGCAAGGAAAAATCCGGATCCTAACAGATTCCTAACAGGGCACAGCGGACTGAATGGGCATTTGAGGAAGATGGGTGGTTATGAACCTACACAGTGGGTGCAGTTCTGGAAAGAAGCAGAGGACCTACTAATAAACTGTGCTACAATTATCCGCATAAGGAAATGCTTTGGAATGTACAACATAACCGTATAAGATTACAACCATTAAAACAGGGCCAAATAATCAAATTCTTGGATGAATTCGACCGGTATGCTAGGTACGGAATGGAGAATGCAACAATACTTCTTAAAGGGCGCAGTATCAAAAATCAACCCGAATTTATTTAACATCTACTACGTCATTAATCTCACCATTCACAACCTCATCAACTTTTGTCAACGAACGTTACCTAACCCTACTACTCAAGACTTCTTTATCAGAGATTGCCTCAAGACCTCTGAGTACTATCGTTTCATATGTGTCCGTTGAGTACAATGCTAGCCGTAGCGTTCTGACCGGGTGAAAAACAACATAATATTACGTATCTGAAGTTAAAAGCTAGAAGAAAGATTGACTATTGCGAGCTGGTTAAAAGTTTGAGTCGAATGAAAAGTTGTTTCATTGTACCGCACATTATCAGAGATTAGTGACCGTTAATTGATAGTTATTCAGATATCGTGAGATGCGGTCGGGTGTGATGTAGGTTTCAGAAAAACATTTTCTTTATCGTGCCAACGTTTCGATCTTTTATTGAGATCATCTTCAGGGCCTGGGATTTACAAACAATGTTTACATTTAACAAATACATTTTGGATGTGGAAAAGTGAATTTATACAATGAAAAATGTATTTTATATTCAAACAAAGTATTTCTACTCACTCAAAGTGTTTGTCTTCTGTGTAATTGTGCCACCTTGCGTGACGTGTTGAGAGTGCCAGTCGCACGATATCTGAATAACTATCGATGAACAATTACATAAATCGTCCTTTTTTGTCAATTTTTTCTCTCTGTTGTGTTGGAATTAAACAACCTATTCTCCTGCAGAATGAGTTTCTTCTTATTTTCTTAAATAACCATTTATTACTGATAATGTTTTATTATTTTTTCTCTAATGATAAACTGATATTTATACAGTAACGGTATGGCATCCTTCAAAGTTATCGTCATCAGCCTGTGCGCATTTAACTTCATTTTATGTTATAAAATAATAAATTATTATTATTATTATTATTATTATAAAATGAATCAAGAGCAGCGTAAAATGGGATAACGAAAGCAAGGTGAGCAATAAATCATGACATCATACAAGACAAATGCAAATTAAAGATTAGATAAGGTCTGTTAAGAGAAAATAGTTCCTAATAGTTAGGAGGCTGTTCAGACGGAATCGGTCAATAAGGAGGAAAAGATTTTTTCTTAATTTTTAATATTTGTACAATTTTTAACGTTAAAATGAATAAAAAGTGACATTAGATGATTTTTTTATATCAAGTACTATCATTGATGGTTCAGTCTACAGAAGTCAGCCTGTACACTCTTATGTTTTTGTTCCAGATCCTGATTGAAAACTCGGGAACGAACTTGCACGAATATCTGACAGAAGCCCAGAATGCTCTCAACTCGCAAGAAATCGTGAGGACCTCCATGGCTATAAGTGAATCTGTGTACACGGCGTTGGACAAAAGCCGTGACCTTGTTCTTATAACAGATACCAACAGCATAGTCCAAGTGAGAAGCTGGAAGAAAGATTTATTTTTTTTAATGTAACCTGTGAATTTTCTTCAGTACGTCAATTGCCCGTTTGCACTAGTCCTCGGCTACTCGCGCGACGAGATCATCGGAAAGCAGGCCACGATCTACCAGGATCACATGGACCTTGTCCCCGCACTCAGGCAATTAGAAAAAGGTTTCGAATGGCTTGGAAAAATTAGATGGAGAAGCAAGAGTGGAGACATCGTCGGATTGCAGTGTAGGGCCCTCCCGTTTAGTCCTCTTACTACGTAAGTTCCATGTCTAATTGTAGAAGACGAGTGTTATTGGAAAAACCCTTTCCGTTCAATTCAATTTCATTGTGTTCTGCGCACATAAATTCGATATTTAAAAAAAATTACCCATTCTAAGCATCAGCTATTAATTGCTAAATTTATTAATCAGACGTGTTGTTCAACTGACCTTCCCGTTCTTCCAGAAAATGCAAATTATTTCGATTTCATAAGTGAATGCATTTCTAAGGCATANTTTATATATATATATATATATATAGATTTGCGAAACTATTTGCAGTCGTGGTCAATAAATATGTATTTTTTAAAGACATTTTTTATGGCGTAAACAAATTAACATAAATTATTAAACTAATAATAATTAAGCTTTAGGCTAATTATAATCAAGACCTTTGAAAATAACGTGGAGGTCGTAAACCAAAAACATACCTAAACCAAAAACCAAAGTACATCCACATTAAAATAATAAAAGAAGAGGGAAATTCGGGCCACTTTAAACTTAAATAACATAACCTAACCCAACCTATGCGCACTTCCTGCGGTGAAATAGTTGAAGAAAATACATGTTTATCCCAAAAATACATCCACGTTAAAATAATGAAAGTAGGGAGAAATTTGGGCCCCTTTAAGCCAAATTTTACCATTTTACTAAGGGTCAACTTAACTAACAAGGAAGCTGCAAATTTAATTGTTGAAAAAATAAAATTAAAATTAAGGAACCCAAGAAGTTACGAAAAAATCGTGTCTAATGTAAATAACGTGATGGTCGAAAAAAAACCTAACCCTAAATTTACCTAGCATAACCTAACTCGTCCCTAACCCAATCCATGCTAACCTCCAGCGGTGAAATGGTCATGCAAAGAAATTGTGTGTTCCAAAGATACATTCACGTAAAAATAATAAAAGTATGGGAAAATTCGGGCCCCTTTACGCCAAATTTGAACGTTTTGAATCATAATCGTTCTTAAGACTTTTATACGTAGTAGAGATCAACGTAACTGTAACAAAGACATCTCCAAAGTTTGATTGTTAAAAAAAAAACATTAAAATTAAGGAACTGAAGAAATTATGAAAGATAGTGTCTAAAGTGTAAATAACGTGGTGGTTGTAAAACAAAAACAATGCATTATCCACGGGCTGACGATGTTGAGAATTCACATTAGAGAAATAATTACCTAATTTATGATAGTAAGGGGGGGTTAATTGCCAAAGTTTTAGAAATTTTTTCCTTCCTTCTTCCCTATGATTTAATTCTACGTAGTGTGAGAAACCTGAAATGAAATTAAATATATCTTACATAAATTAGTTTTCCTATTGACAGGGGATCCAACTAAGGTCACCACATTCTATAATCTTTGTAACAAAGCAACTTTTCAAAAAGAGAGTAAGAGAATTCACGCTTCGCAAAAAATTAAAATGGATATATTTTTGGGCTGGTTATATAATTGTTTTGCGTAACCATTGAGCGTTACTTGGTAGTACACATGGGTTGGGTTACGTTAGGTTTAACCTAATATTTCGTTAGTATTTAATAATTACTAATTTCATATTAGTATAGTTGTATTTAACCAAAGGTCCGGTTAGGTTAGGTAGGGTTGATAAGGGATGGTTCAGGATTAGGGGCTGGTTAGGTTACATATCCATGATTCAATGTTTTTGGGTGAAGCAGAAAAAATATGCAATTGCGAAGTGTGCATTTTAAAAATCTGTAGTTTCATTTTTACGTGTTTTCTGTAGCAAGCGAATATACCAAGGTACTTCATTGGCGTATGTGGTTTCCGTTCGGTAGGGTTTCGGGTTAGTGTTAGGGACAGGTTAGGGTACTATCGGAATGTTTTTGTCTGCATTAAATACCAAAACAAAGCTAAATTCACATTATTTCTATACAGCCTAAATTGTGCTACAATTTGTAGTTGCAATGAAAAATAGATTATGGCGAAAAACTTGTGGGCAATCGCGTATAAAGTTTTAAATTTTTTCTCAAAATGGTGGATGAGATTTCCCATGAATATGCTTTTATAATTGTCTCAACATTAGTATAGCTTTCTGAAGTGGTTTTGTTATTTTTCCATGTACTTAACCCACGCGACAATACACAGCTTGAAAACTCAAAAGGCGTCATTAGAGACCTAAATGAAGAGAGAACCATTATCTGGTCTGCCAGACTAACGTTTCCTACCTGTCTATAAATAAAGAAGTTCCTGTAATACTTGAAGGCTTAGTGCCCCACTCCTCATTGGGTGACATGGATTAAGGGTCAAAACACATTACACCAGTTATTTTCAAATTATTCTCAATTAAATTTAAAAAGGGCTTTGCCAGAATTCGAACCCAGAACACGATCTTTATTTTTTTTATAATAATTTAGATTACAGTTATTTTTTAAATATATAATTTCTTCTTTTTGAAACAAATTGACTAAATCAATTCAATTTTCAGTTTGCCTACGCATTATTTGTACATGCAGGACAACCCTTTTGAGAATCACATCTACCCAAGGGGAAGTCTGCCATCGATTCGAAAAGGATCGTATGATTTGAAGTCTATAATCAGTGAAGGTAAACAGTTTATTAGTATTAGCCATTAAATTAATTTTTTTAGTATATTAATATATTGGTAATGCATGCATATGGTTGAATCAAATAGAATTTATGAGAATTTTTCATGTGGTCTGCAGGGTTGTGAATATGTAATTCGGTTTTTATAGATCATTTTAGTCTGCTTATATACACCACTGAAAATGGCGAAATGTCAAAATGCGTCTAAGAGGCCAACCCAGTGAGGAAAGGCAGACCAAAATGATAAGTAATGACAAAATTTATTACTCTATTAGCTTTATAACCCGGCGTTGCCTAAGGGGATAATAAAAAAGTGTTATTTAACACATTATTTTGAATACACATATTGCTATTTTATGTATTTTTAATTATGTGTAGAGATTAGTGACCGTTAATCGATAGTTATTCAGATATCGTGAGATGCGGTCGGGTGTGATGTAGGTTTCAGAAAAACATTTTCTTTATCGTGCCAACGTTTCGATCGAGATCATCTTCAGGGCCTGGGATTTACAAACAATGTTTACATTTAACAATTACATTTAGGATGTGGAAAAGTGAATTTATACAATGCAAAATATATTTTATATTCAAACAAAGTATTTCTACTCACTCAAAGTGTTTGTCTTCTGTGTAATTGTGCCATCCTTGCGTGTCGTGTTGAGAGTGCCAGTGAGATTTTGCTTTTGTTTTATGTTTATATATGTTTGGTGTTGAAGGGGTGGGGAAGGAAGTCGGTATATAAAAGACAATTTTGTGTAAGGCGTCGGCTTCTTTGAAGTGATATCTCAATAACAGATCGAAACGTTGGCACTATAAAGAAAATGTTTTTCTGAAACCTACATCACACACCAGACCGCATCTCACGATATCTGAATAACTATTTTTAATTATGTTTAATCTATTAGGTTTCGTGGTCCCATCGATTAAATAAATACTTTTCAATTAATTAAAGCTTTGGTTGAGATAAAAAAGGAATGAAAATGGCAAAAAGAAGGGAAAATTCTAAAGGTGGGGTTGAGATGGGAAGTTAGTGTCCGAGATGATCGAAGTCACGATAGCTCAAGTGGTAGATTAGCGACGTATTTAGCCGAAGGTCATGAGTTCGAATCGCGCTCGTGAAACTGACTTTTTATCTCAACCAAAGCCTTAATCAGTTGAAAATTATGTTTAATATTACATTCTGTCATCTTAAGATCTGACTCTTCAAAGCAGTTATAGCCCTATATCTCTTCTGCCGGGTATAAGCAAGGCAGTTGAGCACATTATAGTGAAAAGGTTGAACACGTTTATAGAAAATAACATTATTTCAAATAAACAATATGGCTTTCGTAGTCATCATTCTACCGTTGCACAATTAACCAGAGTGACTTACATTGTTGAACATAACTATGACACAGGGATCTTTTTTCAAATTATTTCAAGCGAATTTTCCCAAGTATGTTGTTTACTTTTTAAAAAGCTACTTAGAGAATAGAAAATTCCATGTAGTGGCTGGTAATGGTGAATCATCAGTAAGATCTATCTCAACTGGGTACCCCAGGAATCCGTTCTGGGACCTATTTTATTTAACATATTCATCAATGATTTAACTAAAACGAAAACTAAATGTAGTTATGCATGTTACGCAGATGATACAGCATTCTTTATCTTGTCATATCTCCACAGTTCTCAAGAAATGCTTCAAATACTTTGACAAATGGCGGATTAGACCCAATGAAACTAAAACCGAAGTTATGTTGTTTACTAAATGTAGGCCATACGTTAATAGATTTGTTCTTGTAAAGGGCAGAATACTCCCTTGGAAAAAATAAATAAAATATCTAGGGGTAATTTTGGATTCAAAATTTTCAAAAACGAAGCATGTTAATATAGTGTGTGTCAAGGGATTGGGTATAATCTGCACTGTATTCCTTCTCTTAAACAAGAACACAAAGCTTAGCACAGCAAATAAAAAATTAATTTATTATCATTATATAAGTTCAGTATTACTGTGTGAAGCTCCGGAATGGTCAAACACGTGTAATACTAACTATATCGGTATATGCAGTATACTTAAAATATATATATATTGATTGATCACATAAATTTTAAGTATACTGCATTCCTTTTTGCTCTATGTGAAATACAATAATTTACAAGTAATGATCCATAAAAAAGATTTCTTTAAATATTTACCATATTCCATTGCGTTCCAGGATCAGCCCGTAGACAAAGCCTGGCGAAACTGTACAATCTACCGCTGGAAGCACCAATCACCAAGGTGCTGTCACTTTTGTGCTCTGCGCAGGAAAACGCTGCACCTTCTGTGGTTCAGATGCTGGAGCAGGTAAATTCACTATTCGTGATGAATGTAAAGGTTAGGTGTCGAGTTTTCGTTTTGAGTGAGAAATACTTTCCCCCAATTAAATCCACCTACGAATTTTTCATTTAAAATGTATTCAGGGAAAAAATATTTTGGCTTACTTTATATTTTTGTTTAGGTAATGGACATCTTAAGAACCACGGAGCTTTACACATCACATTTAAAAACCGACAACCTTCGAGCTGAAGACCCATTGACCAAAAATTTGATCGCAGCACTCGTAGCGGTAAACAGGATAATATACTAAATTTTCATAATGGAAAATTCATCAAATTATATCTTTAATTTATTATATAATTATTCTTTACATTATAGCCAGCTACGTCAGCCGTTATGCCAAGGCGAAGCTCCAGCGAATCGATCGTCACTAAGAAAAAACCGGGCATCAAAAAGAATAACGTCATGCTTCCAATGTCTAAAGAGTTGAGGGAAGAAATGGATAAAATCTCTTCTTGGGATTTCGACGTGATTCAAATTGAAAAGATGACAAGTTGCAAGTGAGTACTTTTTTCAAATTTAATGTTAAGACAATTCGAGCAAAATGTTTTACTCTACTTTCAGACCTCTTGTGTACATTGGTATGAGGATATTTTCGACTTTCTCTGTCCACCGGACTTTAGCAGTGGACGAAAAGACCATTTACGGCTGGCTTGTCACAATGGAGAAAAATTACAAGCCGGCGAACACATACCATAACTCGACACATGCAGCGGACGTTCTCCAAGCAACTGCATGCTTTTTAATAAAGTTGAGACAGAAGAAATTGCTGGATCCACTAGATGAAGCATGTTGCCTTATAGCAGCCACTGCCCATGACCTCGGACATCCGGGAAAATCAAAGTGAGTACTGAACATTTGTCAGCCGTTTTCATTTAAAATTATCCTACATTCAATGTTAGACAAATAATTATTTTCTGACGTTGTCCATGGACGAAGGCTTGACGTAAGTAATCCAATAATTAAAAAATCTAATTAAAAAAGTTCATTTATCATGTTCTATAAAGAAACGTTTATCATGCTACAGCCAGGATAAATCATGCTCTCTTAGCATTCCTACTTTTGGAAAACATTGTACGTGAACTTTCTGGGCCATTAGAACAAACAAACAAATCGATCTAGTCATCACTTAAATTTTGTAGTACGTGAACCGTTTTAACAAAAACATTCATTATTAGAGGAATTAAAGTGGAAAGAATGTTTTCATGTTATGCTTTTATAATGTGTGATTAAAAAATTCAAAATGTAATTTTTTTCTAGCACATTTTTGACCAACTCCAGTCACGACTTAGCAATATTGTACAATGATAACAGTGTATTGGAACAGCACCATGCTGCGCTCACTTTTAAATTAACTTTGAGCGATGAGCGTATAAATATATTCAAAGGTAAACCATGTTTTTTATTAGTTAAAAAAAATACGATTCGTTAAAATTTTACTTTCTTTAAAAGGCCTTGATAGAAAAACCTATCCGTTGGCTAGAGCTTGCATCATCGAAATGATCTTGGCGACTGATATGTCCAAACATTATGAACACTATACGAAATTCGTCACTGTTTTTAACAAACCCAATGAGGAGAATGCGGAAAATAGAGTAATTAATTTTCACCCTTCTAATCTTCAGCTGTAGCTCAAATTATGTTAAACTAACTCTGAATCGTAATTCCTAGCAGCGAGAACGAAAAAATTCGTCCGAGTGTGATAATGATGGAAAACACATCACGCCAGAGGATATCATGCTTGTGAAGAGGATGCTGATTAAATGCGCTGATGTCTCAAATCCAACCAGGCCGATACATTTGTGCAAACAATGGGCCGGGCGAATCGCCGAGGAGTACATCGCCCAGGTACTTCCATATTATTATAATTATCTACAGGAGGGATAAGGCAAAATCAATTCCAAATTCCAACATTTTGTTATTTTATCAAAAACATACAAAAAACTAGTACAACATAAAGAAGTTGTAACTACAAATTTTAACATAAACCTTCAGCAAATAGAGAAGTCATTAGTATTTGTTATAGTGTGTAAATTTGACTTCTACTACACACAAAACTCACCTTACTTGTGTTTTGAAGAAGAAGAAGAAAATAAATTTTATTCTGTGGTTTTGGGCACCGTCAAATAAACAAGAAAGTACAAAAATTTTGCACAAATCGTGTCAAAATGAATTTTATAAATACAGATTTAAATGTAATAGCACAAAAATAAATGAAATTTACTAAATTAAATCAGAGGAGGATTAACAAAAATTAAATGTACCAAAAGAGCAGAACATTATCATCTTTAACGTTAAATTGGAGGGCTTCGTATACTATAATGTTAATTATTCAGATATCGTGAGATGCGGTCGGGTGTGATGTAGGTTTCAGAAAAACATTTTCTTTATCGTGCCAACGTTTCGATCTTTTATTGAGATCATCTTCAGGCCTGGGATTTACAAACAATGTTTACATTTAACAATTACATTTAGGATGTGGAAAAGTGAATTTATACAATGCAAAATATATTTTATATTCAAACAAAGTATTTCTACTCACTCAAAGTGTTTGTCTTCTGTGTAATTGTGCCATCCTTGCGTGTCGTGTTGAGAGTGCCAGCGAGATTTTGCTGTTTTATGTTTATATATGTTTGGTTTTGAAGGGGTGGGGAAGGAAGTCGGTATATAAAAGACAATTTTGTGTAAGCCGTCGGCTTCTTTGAAGTGAAATAAGCCGACAAAGGGGAACAATGTGTTGGTAATAGTTCGGCCAGATTGTCCTTTCAGGATTATATAGAAAGGGGATAAATAGGAAAAGGAAAGCTAAATTGTTGGGAAATTAGACTATGTGAAAAGTATTTGATGTGTGGAATGTAATGTAATGATATATGTATGTTATCTATATTGTATTTGGTTAATGATATTGGCGTAGCTGCGACTGAGTTTATATGTATCTGTTCTGTAATTGATGCTGTGTTTATCTCTGTTGATATAAACCATTTCTAAGAAATTACGTTTATATTTGTTTTGTTCTGTATGTAATATTTTTGGATTTTTGAAGTCGAAGTTGTGTTGGTGTTCAAAGTGGTGGGTAGCGAGTGCTGTAGGATTTTGCTTGGGTTTTTTGCAATCATAGATATGTTGCTTTACTCTCTTGTCCAGATATTGGGATGTAAGACCGATGTAAGTTGCCGGACAGTTTAAACAGTTGATCTTGTAGATTACGTCCGATTTATTTGTTATTGGTGTGGGATCTTTAACTTTGAAAAAAAGTGTTTGGATTGTTTTATAATTTTTGAAAGCTATTTTGAAGTTATCGGACGAGAGAAATGTGTTTATTTGTGTGATAGGCCTTGAATAAATGGTATGGAAATGTATGCTTGTTTGTTTGTATTTTATATATTTAATGTAGTATTATTAGTAATAGTGGAAAGCGTTAGTGTTGTGTTGTAGTTGTTGATTATTCTGTTAATTATGTGCTTAGGGTAGAGATTGTTATGGAGGATCTTTGTATATCTTTATGTTCTTGTGGTGAAATGGTTCATGGCTCAGGGTAATCATTCTGTGAAGTAACCCTTTGGCCGTGTTTATTATTGTATGAAGAGGATGGTGAGATTTAAAGTTGAGGTAGCGATCTGTGTTTCTTGGTTTTTGGTACCAATCTGTGATTAATGTGCCATCTGGTTGTTTTATTATGATGTTCATGTTTTATTTTAATTTTGATAAAAATTACAAATTATAATAATAATTACTGCCTGGACGGCATACATTGAAATGAAAAAGCCAACCTGGCAGCCAAGGAGCGAGCAGCAAGGACGCCACATGACCCGGATACACCAGCGAGTCCAGCGGATGTGAAAAATTACATTAAAAAGAGATGCTGGGCCACCATGGGTGACAAACTACCTGAAATAAAATCGCCAGTCAAATCATGGACCAAGGAAGAAATAGAAATGATAAATGGTGTAGTGAGTATGTTGTTCAATCTTTATAAAAAGATAGTTCCTACTCACAGTTAGTCGTTTTCAACGATCTGAATTTCAACCTTTTAGCTCATCATCAGGTTGAAGGAATTTACAACCACGTCTCTCGGCATGGATTGTAAAAGTGAACCTGCCAACGCGACATTCCAATGAGAAGCTGGCTTTCAAAACCGCTCAATTTTGAACGAGTGAAAAGTTGGAATTAATTAATTTGGAATTAGTTAATTAATTTGACTAATTTGTATGACTAATATTATTTACGTACATATTTAAAATAGGAGGTAAATAAAAATTTATCTTATTATTCATTATTGGCGGGGTGGCTGAGTCCAATTTTGTCTTTTAAAGTTAATTTTTATATTCTTTTAACAGCAACCTATCAATAAATATTTCTTGATATCCATTGGTCTTTGCTAAGGTTTTAATCGTTGGTAATTCTTTTTCATAGTTAGCAGGTGTTAATGGGAGTTTTAATATACGGTCTATGAGCAAAATGAAACCAGCAGTTTTTTGGGGTACATGGTTGACAACAATATACTTGTTTCATGGTTTCTGTAGTTGTGGGTTTTCTATATGTCTATTTTGATTGGGTTGTTTAATATGTACAGTTGAAGTCTAAAAAGTTTAAACAAATCATCTTTATTAATTTCCTATGTAAACTTTATATTACGGTGTAGAGAATTAATTAGTTGGAAGAATTCTGTTAGATCCTCTCATGTTCCCGACCATATACATAAAATATCGTCTACATCTAAATTTCATTAATTTGTTGTTTGATTTGAGAAGATTTTTTTCAAAATTATCCATCAATGTTTCGGCACAAAGTGGGGTTAATGACGACCTCATTGGTAACCTTTTCAAGTCATAAAATTGATTATTGAATTTACAATAATTAGATAGTAGGCATATATTTCAGAGGTCTATTATATATTTTTTTACAAATTCGTTAATAGAATTTTCCATTTGTTTTTGTTTTATAAGTTTTGTACATTCTAACAGGGATAAAAGGTTTAGAGTACGTTTTATAGGTACGCATTTCCTTAGAAAGATCCTCTCAAAAACTAAAGACAATGTTGACAACTTGGCAAAAAGCGGGGTTTACCAATTTAATTGTATGAATTGTGACAATAAATAAATAGGGCAAAGTAGCAGAGAAATTAAAACGAGTGTTAAAGAACACTTGCCTAATTCGAACAAATTTTCAAATTATAAAGACCATCTAAAAGAAACAAAACACAATTTCAATTTGAATTTAGATACAACAGTGTCATACAGTTTCAACAAAGAGAAAGAACTAGACTGGTTTGATAAATTTGGAATTAAAAAATGTAAAATAGAACATGAAGATAAATGCATTAATATATAATTGAATTTTATTTACCTCCTATTTTAAATATGTACCTACATAACATTAGTCATACAGTTTAGTCAAATTAAGAAAATATTTTTTATTTTGTCATTATTTACTAATTTATTATGATTATGTTTTATTAATAAAAACCACAAATTAATCACTAATCACTCTCTCTTACACTTCATGTCGAGAGGTGGTTGTAAATTCCTTCAACCTGATGATGATCTATAACCTTCAAATACGTTCGTTGAAAACAACTATTTGTGAGTTAGAATTATCATTTTATAAGACCAAGGAAGAAATGGGAGGAAAAACGAACCACGTTGACTTGCCTGCGGATAGGTCACACGCTGAGACATGATTTTCTCCTCACCAATGAAAAACAACCGAAATACCCTTTATTCGGCTCACAAGTATATGTAAAGCACATATAAACATTATATGAGGAATTAGTGATAAGATGGAATGAAAAGCTATTATAATTTTTATATAATATTATATAAAATTTCAATATTGTATTATTTCAAGGTTGCCAAAAATTTAAGATTTGGATTGAGCCAGTTTTGAAGCAATTTGTGCAGCTAACCTATCATATGGGTGGAATAAGTTGAAATTATTCTCAATTGATTGGTCCAAGTCCCACCTATTTTCGTAAGAGTAGTTTCAATAAAAACAAAACAATATTCTGATTTGCTAGGTAGGGGAAGAAAAGTAATATGGAAATAAAATGTTTATTGAATAAAAAATCCGCCTAGACGGTGAACATTGAACTGAGCCGGTGTTGATCTAAACCCATGAGTTTGGAGACAATTTTATATTGGATTCAGTCGATTTTGGTCAATTAGGTTTTGCTAACTGTAAATTGTTTGTAAAAATGTGGATTGAGGCGGTTTTGAAAATAATCGCCTCAATTATGTCAATGTTTGAAAATAGAGCCAAAGCACCTTTTTACATTTTTTTCTAAACTGACAAAGGGTTGGCTACAAACATGGGATCACTGATTTTAATGAAACTTTTTCTAGGATCTAGTTCAAAATATAGACACCTGTCCAAGCATTCTTCCCAAGATGATCTAGGAGCTCATAAAAAAATGTTTTACGTAATTTAACGTTTTTTATGTACATTGCTGGTCTTTCTTGTGTATGTATTTCAAAATTATTATATATCAGTTAATTTTCTTCTTTTTTACTTAGAGCAAGAAAAATATATAGAATATAATAATGTATGCCGCTTGGTCAGAAATTATGTATCTTAATACCTAAAATACACTAGGCTAGCTGCCAAATAAAATTTTATACATAGTGAAGTATGCTAAAACATTTTTTTAGCATGAACCATAGTTGATACTTGTTTTCCACACCCCTGAAAACCCATCAATACAAACTTTTGTGAAAATCAAGAAATTAAACTTGTTTCTCCCATTTTTTGCCATCCAATTTGCTTCAGACCTGGTTTAGAAAATTATAAAAATGGTGATAAATTGGAAAAGACTACCGATGTAGTGAATTGTTAATATAGGCTGAAAGAAGAAGAACTTATATTTCAAACAGTTGCCATAATATTTAATTTGGATAATATCTACAGGAATTATGAATTTTTAAGTAGGACAACAGGATACAGAAGAAAAACGTTTCAGGCATTCAGCCTAAATATGTTTATTTTTTGTTAGCAATAAAAAATTGTATTTATGGTTAACTAGTATCACGAAAAAAGTAGGAATGCCAGCTATGAATATTTTAAAAAGGATTGATCCAAGGATACTTCTTTGGGGGACTCCAGATTTTACGAAAAAATAAAAAGGGATAGGGATGTGTATACGATTACAGAATAAGTACTGGAATGTATATTCCTGAGTTTCCACAGTATATAGAAAGAGACCCAAGCAAGACACATCCTGCGTAGGAGAACAAAACAAATCGATTGGTGTACATAATAACCTTGACATACAGGCACAATTAAGGTAGAAAAACAAAAACCTCTTAAATTACGTTTAAAATTTTTTTTTCACGGCTCTTGGGTCCCATTGGCTAGAATAATGCTCAGACATGTGTCTAATATTTTTTGATCTACTATCACCAAAAAACGTTTCCTAGCCATTTATAGCCGCCTTTAGGTAATGTCCTGATGATGACTTTAAAATTGGTCGATAGCTCGGCAGATAACAGTTAAATTGGTTTTTTCCTTCACTTGACCATACATCCAGCTTATTCATAAAGATCAGTCAATTTATTCAACTTTTTTTTACTTCCAGACCGACGAAGAAAAAAGCAGGGACTTACCTATTATTCTCCCTGGATTCGACAGAGATAATCTGTCTATCCCAAAGACGCAAATTGGCTTCATGGATTATATAGTCAATGCGATGATTGAGGAATGGGACTGTGAGTACATTTTACAATGTAGCATAATTTGTATGTGTCCAAGATAAAAATAAACATATATTAACAAAAATTTTATATTGATATAAGAATGTTATAGTATTTTATAATTACTTTAATATTTTTTAAAGTTTATTATTAAATTTATTTTTAAATTATTTATTACATTAATTATTTTATAATTTTAGGATAATCATTTTTTTTAAATGGACAAGAGGTAATCTCATTATGTCACAGTTATGTTCCTGTTGGATAACGTCTCGGCAAAACAGTCAATGTTCTTTAGGTACTCGTTTCCATAGGTTTGGAGGGTAAGGAAAAGGTGGACTAGGTGGCTAAGGCCGTCCCAAACACAGACTTAACCACAGTGATCTGGCCCTCTGATGCTAAAACCGAATTAAAACATGATTAGAAGGAAGTGGAAGCCAATGGGTCAATGGGCCAGACCAACAGAGAAGCTCTCACATACCAAGAGCACTGTCGATAGGTTAGCCTTTGGAGGACCGGACTCATAGAAGAAGGGTCATTCTCACCCAATGGCTAGGTTGACATGCGGATACTTACTTTTGGGCCAAAGCCCATGCATGTCTCCGACATGTAGAGAAATTGTTCAATTGCCTCACTTAACTGAAGGAGGCAACTCCTTGCTCCATCTAGAGAGCATGTACAAATGACACCTGATATAAGGATTGTGCTTGAACACAGCAGTGAGTAACTGTGTCTCCTGTTCTCATTTTTGGAGGAACAAGGCTTATTTTATGTTGTTGATATAAGTGTGATCATGAGTGTGTGTTGATAGTGAATGTATTTATTAGCGTGACTGTGTAGTGTGAGAGGGTGTATGGTTGAATATTGAGTACTCAATGACCCACAATTAGTTTTAGTTACATACGTGTAGAAGGTGATACAGAAATAACAACTGCTCTACCCCCTTGCGTGAATATGTAAATAAGAAAGAATGTATTTAAGAGTGAATGAGAGATGGAATCGGTTTGTACCTGGAGACTAATTGGGTTAAGGGATGAGATAATCTAGCTGTTGATAGAACCTGGAGCCTAACCTTGGTGGCTGGACGGATGAGACCAAGGACTGAACCTAGTCTATCAACGCCGAAGGTGGGAGATTCTTGAGGCCTGCCAGTAATATATTGAAAATTACACAAGCTGTAATTACCGGCATGCTGCGAGAAGTAATAGGATCAATTCTGTACATGCCTATATGTTGATATGTGTGCAGATTTGAGCTTGTATGAATCAGTAGTCAATATGCCATTGCTTCTCGCATTTCGGCTAAGATCAAAGTATAGTGTAGTCAATATATCTCAATTATTAAAATAATACAATTTTATATACATATATAGCTGTATATTTTGTGTTGTTGCTTTTTCGATCCAGCAAACCAAATTTTGAAGATTTGAAATTTAATTTTTTTCAGCATTCATCGAAATGCCTGAAATGCTGTATCATTTACGTAAGAATTATGACTATTGGAGAGAGCTCTCAGAAAAAGGAGTTACGGGTATCGAGGATCCCGAAAAAAGGAGAAGCTCAATAGAAAACTGCACACAGGTTGAACAACTAACGGAAAACAAGACGCCCAGACGAGAAAGTTCCTCAGAAGAAAGCTCTAATCTCAATTGAAAATCATAATTCCCAAAATTTAAGGATGTAATTATATAATTCAGATGTATTTATTATAAAATTGCCACTTTAAAATTATTCTTTCTTAAATTAACGTAAAATGCAGACCATTTTGAAAACCATGATTTCATTGTCACAATATTTGTACTAAAAAAGAAATTGATCACGCTGGTTTTTTGTTTCAAATGATGGACAAATAAGTCTTTATGTTACAATAGATAACACAATCAATTATTTATTCAACAGTTAAATGAGTGCTATATTTTATCTAGTCTATGAATTAAATTTGCGAAAAGAAAACCTGGTTTGAAAAGTTAGCACTTTAAAACTGAATTTTCATTGTTTTTTATTGTTTTCTTTTCTTCCTTTTTTTAAATATTATAGTATGTAAATGTTGATCCACTGTTACTTGCTGTAATACAATTTATATTTATTGTAGAACTGAAGATATTTTCGATGACATCGTCATATTCAATTCATGGTGGCTTGGTAATGTTTATGTCACTGTGTTACAATATTTATAATTATTACATTCAACGTTCTAGCAATGAATTTTACACTATAATGTAAAGTGAAAATAAATCTCTGACATAACATATTATATTTCCTTTTCCTTTTTTTTTGTAACAAATATAAACACCAAATATACCACAACAAATACAACAAACCACAAAATATAAAATTTTAAAAAGGAATTTGTTTAATACCCCAATTCCAACTGTTGTGTACATGAGCCGTGTCCAACGTTGAGCCCCTTAATCCATCTTTATCATTAAGGATGAGAAGAAAGGGTATTAACCTTGCTATTTTGTATTATTAAGCTTTTACAGGAAAGAAAAAGAGCGAGAGAAAGAGAAAGTGAGGTGTGTTGAAAGTTACCTACAAAATTACATTGTTTATATTCGATGGTGGGAAGGTCTGACTTCTTAGTGTAAATCATCATGGCTTTTTTGCTCATTTAACTTTCTCCGCCACCGAGTACCCCAGTTAGTAATGACGATCAGGTGGTCCAGGATTGCTTCTGTCGATAAGGTAAGATCGGAGTGTGTAGTTTGGTTATGTTAGGAATGTAGATTCTGTGGAGGTCCTACGATAGTCCATTGTGGAACACCAACTTTGACATACTGCATGAAAAATTGGATCCGATTTTTTTTTTAACCCAGCGGTTTGAGAGAACGTGAGAACTATCTCTTCAGTATGAGATAGAACGTGTATGGAGGATTACATTTTAACTTGAAAATGGGATCAGGGTGCCATACCCGGTCAGTAAATATAAAATGCGGGTTCTGGAACAGTTGAGGTGGGCGTTAGATGAAGAGGGGACTGGGCTATGTATTCGTCGGACCCGATGGCCTGTCTGCGGGAGCTGACAAAAGGTGAAGTGGGGAGAGGTGTAGGCTATTCATTAGCGGGAACCGAGTGCTTGAAATTTCACTTCCCTAGTAGTTATAAAATGCGGATTCTGGTACAGTTGAGGGGGGTGAGATGAAGAGGGGTCTAGGCTATGTATTCGTCGGACCCGATGGCCTGTCTGTGGGAGGTGACAAAAGGCGAAGTGGAGAGAGGTGTAGGCTATGCATTAGCGGGACCCGAGGACTTGAACGTACCGCGGCTGGGCAAAGCGTCCGCGTCAATCCAAGCATCGACCATATTTGCGAGTATTAGTATAGGAGGCTTCTCCAGGCACCCCCTCGC